TTTAAACCGGAAAAAGCCGACAAAACATTTCCTGAAGGCATTTTTTACCATAAGGATTTATCCGAAAAACACCGATTTTTAAAATCACGATAGCAAAACAAATGTAGTTCGCATAAGTTTTGTTTGCCAGCTGTCTCAAGGAGAGGACTTGAGAATATTTTCAAAACTAGGTCTACCAACAAAAGGGGACTTACTTGTAAAGGTCCGTTCACGAAAACAGGTCACTATCTCAGTATCAGTATCACCACCCTGTTCCGGTTACAAGGTTGGACCATACCATTTGTGCTTTTTGCAGGGAGAAGGGAAGTGATGGGCAGTATTTGAAATACAAGTATTTGAAATACGTATTTCAAATATTTTGTGTATTTTGCATTTGTATTTAATTACAAATTGGGTAATGTATTTGACGTGTGTATTTAAATACTAAAACGTGGGTATTTCAAATACAATTGTAATTAAATACAATTTTGTGGGCGAAAATACATCCCTCAAATTTATTGTCGCGACTCATTTTGCTCATCCTAAGACGTGTCCAAAGCTGCTCTTTCTTCATCTCAGCGCCAACGGCAACAACAAACCAAGAAACTCTATCTCCTCATACACCAGTCCTGCGGCAGTTCGATCTCGCTCACCGCGGGCGCCCGCGGCCCTTGCCTCTATTACGTTAAATAAATGTTATTGCCAAAGTTACAATTTTTTGTTTTTATGCATGTGGTTGTAAGATATAGTCTTTATCTTTTATTCGGCCATGGGGCTTTTTCTTTTTCTCCTCCGGTTTTATCTTAAAGGCACTGTCCAGAGCAGGAAGGAAACTACGTTTTGCACCGAATGCAGTGTCTCTCAATCAAGCACAAGCGTTTAGTGACTTTGTGATTACGGTGCTAGTCCAGGGCAAGAATAGTGACAAAATCGACGTTCACAGGCAGACTGGCTAAATAAGTGCCTGTGACAACTTATGAAGCTTTCCAGCCTGATTTCCATCCATATTTTTGCCTGGAACATTCTAAATGCGCGGGTCGTCCAGATTTTCGTAACTGGTGCGAGTTGCAACAATAAACAATTCTGTAGCTAGTGCTGCGCGTCTTGGTCGTCTCGGTTCTTTGTTGGTCTATACGAAAATGTAATCAGCAAAAAAGCTGCTTGAAGCTCTGTACTTTTTTCACCTATTACGTCCAAGCTGATTACATTTTTTTGTGATTATATTTCTATTACGTTACTAGAGCCTCGCACACTAACTCCCGAGTGTGCGATGCAAAATTAAAAAGATACCCAGAAACCCGTTGCAGGCGCCCTGAAGTCTCTGACGCAAATTTCGAGGAATGTATTTGGAAAAGTATTTGGAGGAGACCAAATACATTTCGTTGTATTTGTATCTTGTACTTAAATGCTTTTTGGAAATGTAATTAGATTTGTAATTAAATACATTTTTGACGAAGTATTTTGTATTTGTATTTCGATACATATTTGCATGTATTTTGCCCATCCCTGGAGAAGGGTTTGTGTTTCTCGAATGGCTTCGTAATTGTTTCGTAGACTTCCTTGGAGAAAGGGGGTGGGAGGTCAGCTAAAACTTCTTTGTAACTCTTCCACTTAGTGAAACCATTGCACCTGTCTGACAAATTTTCGGCTGTAAGGACTTGACGATGGGCAGAAAACCAAAGCTTCTAGCCACTACGCCAAGGAATCGACTGATTTTGGGAAGTTAACGTCGGCTGAGGGTAGCCCTGTGAGCAAGTTTTGTCGAGCAACCGTCATCGTTACCGATGGCTAGGGCGCCAACAGAATTAAGGAGAGTCTGCAATCTCAACTATAACTGAGGAGCGAAGATACAACTGCACAAACCTCGTCTTCATAGAGGTAAGTACTTTTACTACTAATACTATGCCTTTTTGGTTACGTAAGACTATGGAAGATGCTACTGAAAAGAGGTCCTAGACGGCTGCCTTTACTTCGAATACTCCTTTTTAAGTATTTTATCTATACTCACGTCCTAAAAAGTGCATCAAGAGAGGAACTTTTCTAACTTTTCTTTGGTATCCTTCAAATCACTCCTCGCCCCAATGCTCGATCGAGGGATCTATCACGCGTGCCCGGGCTAGCGGACAAGGAGCAGATGACGTTCCCGGTAAGCTTTGTCGTGCACTCTACCATGCTGGCGTTCCCCTGCACCAACCAAACTGACTCATTGGCAGAATATTTCAAAGTAAGTGTGCGGCTGCACGCACAATGCCGGCCAGTGATCAGCTCTACCGGAAATGCCTGCATGAAATTCACGAAAACATCATCGGAACGATACGATGTGCAGTGAAAGGACGTCCAATCTTTACCACCATTGACGAAACGCCAGAACTCCGCGATCGTCCTGCAGTAGCAGTATTAGCAACGTCCTCCGCCGACGATATTCCTGGCCATAAGACTTTCAAGTGCCCAACAGTGCACCGCAGAATTCTAAGTAGAGAGAGTTAAAAGAAAATTGAAAACTAAAGTTCTCTCCAACCTGTGCAATACGGGTTTTGGCCAAACAATAAAAAAAATTAATAAAATAAAAAAAATATTTGTTTTTCTAGTTTTAGTACTGGAAATTCAAGGAAGGGGAAAAGCACAATCACCCACCGGAACGAGCCTGCAATATACGCGGGGCATTTATTGCCTTACTTTGTGAAGATTGGAATATCACCATGAGCTGTTACATTTCACCGAAGGTATATGCATATCCGGTGCTTACAGCAGATGGCTTGAATACGACTCTTGTTAGTGTCAAACTCTTTAGTAAAGTGGATTTCACAGGTGCCTATCAACAGTTGGATCATGACCGAAGTTTGGGTGTTTACACCCGTCACCACACACGAGGACCTGTACCAATACAATCTCTATCGTTTGGAATCTCTAAAATGCTAGATGTTTCTAGTGAACGGTGAACAACAACCTACAAAAAGTTGAATACGGGGTATTCTATGTCAATGGAATCTCGACTGCTTCACGTACTCACGAAAACCACATTCAGTTTCTGATCTAACTTTTATTCGAGTAACGGCTAGCGGACTTTGTGTCTGCCTTCTTGTTCTTGTCCTTGTCTTTGCGTTGTTTTTAATTTTAACCAAGAGATACCAACTAGCCCAAACGTCAATGTTAGTAAATCTTCTACTAAGACTTGTGCACTGCTTTATATTTTTGTGTGGTTAATAATAGTATTTCTATATTGAACTTATTCATGTTACTTTTTTCTGTTGCAGCGGAGTAGACAGAGGCTTGTCAAACAACACCTCAGTTGCTTTTTCTCTTTCTCGCCCCTTTTTGAACTAAAAAAAACGAGTTTGAATTTACATTTTTGTCTCCTTCAATTCTCTCTGTCTCCTTCAAATGGCAGAGAGCTGCGCTCGTTTTTAGGCCTCTCAAATTAGATCAAGTGATCCTTGACAGACCTGTTTATAATATTAAATCCGCTCCACGAGCTTCTAGAGATAAACAGCCGGTCGACGGATATTATGTTTTATCTCAAAGGAAGATATCTTTAAGAAATAAAATGTGTAAGGTGTAGGTTATTAGGAATGTTTTGTGGAAAATTTGAATCAGTGTCCTATTGTGCCGGTAGTCATGTAGCCATCTATGGTATAGCTGTTGGGTGAATTGTGGCGGAGACCTACTGCGAAAAGAAGGCAGAAGCGCTCAGGTCGCAACCCGGGTCGGGTTTATAAATTACGACTCATGTCTGCTTTACATTTTAGGCACACTTGAAACTTGCGGCCCCTTGAGGGCCCTGTGGATAATTGCACGTACAAGTTACCGCCTGTGGCGAACACCCGAATATGTATAAAAGTGCCGAAACCGACATGCAACAAGACGCAGGAAAACGCAAATTTACTTGTGTTTTCTTACTGCGTCTCGATCCTTTTTTTTTGGGGGGGGGGGGAAAGGGGCAGGGCGCTTTTGTGCTTTTTCAGCTGTAAACAAAGTACCCCAAAAAAATCACTTTACCTGAATGTAAAGTCACCTTCAAGGAAGGGAAACAGCTTGCTACGGAACATGTGCTTACCCATTACGACCCAAAAAGGCCTCCCTGCCCCGTCTGTGTAGCTTCTCTAAGCGGAGTGGGTGCAGTCACCTTCCACGTCATGCCAAACGATGAGGTAGTGCCAATTACCTAAGCCTACAGAACGCTCTCCCCTCGACGGCGCAGCTACACACAGATTGGGCGAGAAACATTCGTTATTCTGTTGGCGGTTTAGACGTTCGCTGTGCTCTCACGCCACGTCCCAGCTCGATCGAGAAGCGAAATCAACTTAGCCATCCGTAATCTCTGCGGTAGTGGCCGTTTTTCCTAAACTTTTCTTTGTCGGCGAATGCTATTGAGACCATAGTATGAAAGCATCTCACGCTTTAAAATATTAACACACTGACAGACAGCACGGCACATCTTTCAATCGGCTTGCCCGACCATGCCTGCAAATATTTACCATTCGCTTTAATTTACGCGGTGTAGACCTTTCTCTTCTCTCGCTATAAGTGACTCAATGGCATGACTGCTGTAATTCTGCAGGTTCTCGCGTAAGAGAAGTAGGAGGAAAATTGACGGCCAACGCTATTCCTCACACTCCCGCAAATTATTACAGCCACAGACAGCTTAAAGAACGCAGGACATAGTGTGCTGTATTCGTGCCTCTGCTGCTTCGTGATTTGTTTTTCGGCGTTCTTATTGGCTACTTCCACAGTGTAATTGGTTGTACTGAGATAATAGAATTCTCTGAACTTGCCCCGCCCTGCGTTTCTTAAGCGTTTAGTGACTACAGAATTATCACCAGTGAGGAAGACAATTGAACTTTGGATTGAATTTTGCGCATGATGACGGGAGATCTGCGGGAAGTTTATATTTACAGTAAGCGTCTTGAGAGACTACAATTCAAATAAAGTTAAGTTGCTAAGCCATAGAAACAAATATTACAGAATATCTTTGACCGCGTGTATTTTTTTAAAAACAACCTTTAAGTATGCGAAGCTGAATGTGAGACATCTAGAAACCCATTAGGCGTAGTTTATTAAAAACTTGGAGGCAAACAACCGCGAAAAGAACAACCAAATAAATTGCACGTAACCTATAGAGTCTATGAACGAGGAATGAAGCGCAAATTCTGCACCATAGGGCTGTTGAAGGTCACACAGTCCACAGACAAGTCGACTGCAACACCATCTTCAGGCATCACGATAAACTTCTGCAGAACCCCTGTGAGGTACAGGAAGATCTGCATATTGGAGGCCGCCTCTCCTGGGCACATTCGTTTGCCTGGAAATAAAACAAAATTTCAGTAGAATATTAGAAATCACTTACTGAAAGAGACTATCCGTGCGCATATCAGTTCAAGTCAGCAGAAATTCATGCCCTGTACTCTGAAGCCCCGGCCCCACTGTTAACACAAAAGACAGCCCTGAGACAGAATCTCAGAAGTGTTTCTTTCTTGTGTGAGAATCCTGGCGCATTGGTGATACAAGAACTCTCTGCAGACAAGTTGGAAGCATACATTAATATGAAGCAAGTATTCTTGAAACATGATTGAGGCATGTCCGCAACTAGTTATGTTACCAACTCTACAGCGAACATCTTGCCTTTAGTGCAAAGTATGGGCAGTGGGGCTGCCGCTTAGAGAATACAACGACGAAGGGCTCTGTGAAAAGTGTGGATGAGTGAACGCCATTCTCGCTCGGGCTGCGGTCATCCCTCTTGTCTTTTTCACATAAAATCGTCAATAATATATTTCATGATCACCCTCACAGGTGCTCGAGTATAGGGTGACCCCCAACCCCTGTGTTCCCGTTCCTTCACGAGTTGCTTTGGAGCTACGCAGCGGACGTTAAACCCAGGACACAACGCGGAACGAGAAGGAGGATGGCAAAGAGCAACGCAAGCCCGCCGCTCCAACCGTTGCTTCATCTGCCAAAGACTGCCAGCGACACACAGCAGTATTCAGCGGAGCACCGAAACCGAACGTAAACGACTGACTCCAGATCGATGGCCATGCAAGCGAACCACACAAGTGGCATGATTAATTGAGGCTTGCGTATATGATATCTATCTTCAAAGATACCGCAGTCTTTTGTAGTTTTAAAACCACGAAGAAAGGTATATAAATTCCTGGAAAGGGTTTCAGACATCGTTAGCGGAGGTTTTCAACAACCCCCAACGCAGAAGACAACAAGCAAAAATCAAGCTGGCCGGAGGTACCACGCCACAGCGCAGATTTTTGTAGCCTGCGTCGAAGACACTCTCCACCTATACGCGATGTGTCGGCAGTCACAAGACCAGAAACGAGAAGGTCCGGCACTTGTCTGTGGCCCCCAAATCGGCCCCGACCCTGCAAAACCTTTCTAGCGAGTCTCCACACCAGAAGGTGTGGAAAGCTGTAGGGTGCCCTCATAATGGAGGTCCTGTTCAAGTGTCTTCCCGGGGCGCTCCTACCGACGGTATTTTATACCAAATTAATTCTTCAAAACATTCGTTAGAAATTGCAGCTCACCCGCGTTCGTCGGACGTTACTGCACACCATTCGATTTACATCGAACACATTAAAAGTGCTGTACAGGACCAACTACGCGAGATTTTCCCCTGACTCGCATCAGTTCCTCGTGTATGTACGCGCCAGCACTGCAAGTTTCTACGACACGTTGGCTTACACAGCACGACACCCATTCACGATCCCCGACGACATTACTAGATCGAGATCAACTGCCCCTCAAATTTACTGGCAGTGGTAGAGAATTGATATTCGGAGAACAGAAGACCAGTGTTCGGAGTTTTTTTTTTTTTCTGTCCAACAGCTGGTAACTGTGCACGCTCTTGGTGACGACAAATCGGTAAAAAAGCTTCCCATTGCGCACCTGACAGTTTCAATCGCTATTTTAAATATATTGAAGACAGCCGCCATTCTACGCTCGCTTTAGTGCAAGTGCTCCTGGCCTCAAAGCACCTTCGGGCCGCCGCCACTGATCGCCCTCTCCGTTTCGATGACGTGGTCGCTCAGTTTCCTTATTTAAGCACGCCGCTGTAGCGTCAACGTCGCAGTCAATCTAACAAGGGCAGCCTGTCCCGCCAAAGGAGGTCCGGCTACACTACCACGAGCTGCCACAAAACCTCCTTTTGTTGGACCGACATCAGTAAATGGTGGAATACAGTATGCAGGCCTTTCTGCTCTTTGCGCACCTCGTTCGTTTGTTTTCCCCTTGAACGTGCTCGCGTGCTTTTGTTTCCCCCCGATCTCAACCAATGACATTGCGCGCTTGGCTGGTTCGTCCTTGAGGATTCCTGCACCTTCTCTATGCTGCCCTTTAATTGGCGTGCTCCTCCTTACAATCCGACGCGTCAAAGCAACACCTCCTAGATAAGAAGGCCTTAAGAGCTGGATTTTCCTGCGTCACTAAAGAAGGCCAGCGTAGAGGCCACAAATTGGAGGCCACTGTGGCGTCGGCGTTCGGCTAGGAGTCGTGTTCTCACTGATTGGACACGTTTCTTGGCCGAACGCTGACACCGAAGTCATCTCCAATCTGTGCCTTACTGTTGGCTTTCTTTAGTGACGCAGGAAACTTTAACACTTGGGCCGTCCTATCTAGGAGGTGTTAGTCAAAGACGCATTTTGGAGCACTTACTCCCCATATAGCGGAGCACTTTATTTGTCGCATTGTTCGACGAAGGAGCCGCAAAATCCTGCATTCCAAAAGATTCATTCTCCGACTTACGTAAAGTAAATATTTCAGCCAGCGGACAGTTATTGCGCAAGGGTAACGGTGAGTTGTTCCGTGCAGCATCTGTAAGATGTGCGAAAATATATGCGCACCTTGCAAGCACGGCCTACATCGCTGTGTTTCTTCTACTTTCAAACTGTATAGCTAGTATTATTTTAGGAAGGGACTTTCTGACGCCCACTGACGCCTTTATAAAAGGTATGTTCATTGTAGTAGAATGGAATGGTCACGATCCTGGCAATGGTCCTCGGCTCCCTCATCCGTGACTCTTCGCTTTGTCGGCGACCTGACTTTTTGCCTCATCACTATAAGCTGTCACCGTTACGATTAAACCCGAGCCGATCGTCAAACGATCTCCGCATTTGTCGACACTGCAGAAGAAAAATCTTCAAAGGAAAGTATCGTCGTTTCCTACTCCCTCGTGTCCATAGTGGAAAAAAAATCATTTATGCTTGCCTCACTAAGCTCTCCCCAGAGCCGCAAGTACTTTTCTGAATAATGCCTACCTCAACCACGATTTGGTAAAAAGACGACAACATATCGCTGTACTCTTTCCAAACATATTTCGTCTGCCAGTTCTCCCCATTCATCTGCTACCGATATTTGCCCTAATATGAAAAGGCTGATGGACTTCACTTTAGTTGCTGACGAACAATATTATTAATTCGCCATGACGGAGCTCGCGACGTGCTGAAGCGTCTGCTGATCATTTTACTAATGCATCAGTTTTATTGCTCGAGTCCGGGTATTAGTGGTAATAAAGAAAATGCTTTATTGTGTTTTAGCTTACCGACAGAAAAGGGCACCAAGTGCTCAGGCTTAGCGATCAGTCCCGAGCCGTCAGCCGTCAGGAATCTGGAGGGGTCGAAGGCTTCCGGATCTTTCCACAGCGTGGGATCCATGTGCACTGCCCACAGATTTGGCAGCACGATCGTTCCTTTGGGAATCACGTAGTTATCGATGCTGACGTCCTCCTCGCAGCTGGAACATAAGTTCTCTTGTATGTTTCGTGGTTATGTTTACTTTTTCTTGCGTGTGATAACTAGCAAAGCACTAATCTGGGTAGATGCCAATTTCACTTTGTTTAAAGGGGTTATAAAACAATATCGGGTTGGAATGCTAATGACTTTGCAGAGACACACTGGCCCTAGTCTGACCCAAGTATACTGGCACAGACCGCCACTGATTCAGAAACTTCTTTGTAGCGGTGAAATTTCGAGGATTAAAGAGGACTATTTATTTCAGTCTTGCCTTCGCCAAGCTTGATGACGTAAGTTTTCGATTGAAACCACCCACCCTGACGACACTCGAGCACGGCTTACAGATTGGGCACAAGAACTGCGTGAGCGCTCGACTTCGGATCGTAACAATTAATGCCTCGGCGGACACTTCGGTGCCGGCTCGTATCCAGCCACTGCTTTGATGAAAATACCTGAACTCTAAGAATGCCCGTTGCTCAGCACGCGTTTACTACTATGCCAACCCCAGCACGTGGGTACGATTAGTGTTGCTGGCTTAAGATAGGCACCACTACAGTCCACATGGCCGCTTATTCTGGCTCCGAGTTGAGAACATAAACAAGTCTCTTATTTCTCTAATTTTTTGGTGACTGTGATTGCTTAGAAAGAAAAACTAAGGCAAGTTTATTTAGTTGTCAACGTAAAAAAGTGATCCTAAGTAGTATTTAGCGGAAGTAGAAAACTCGATGCATTGCTTTTTTAATTACCTCTACATCAATTTTGCTCGCGACAAGTTCTATGAAAAAAAATATTGGAAATTTTTTATCCATAATACTAGGCTATATCGATATATCTTTGAAAATTAGTACACAAAAGAACGATACGTTTCAATCCGGAAAAAAAATAGAGAGCACTATAATTAGGTCGTACACGTGCCAGTTATAACCGAAAAACACAAATAAAAATTCATCGGTGCCAAAAATGAAAAATTGATTAACACGGAGAAACACCAATGAAGATTCGTTGCCACTACAAGTTTTTCGACACATACCCTGGATGTGAGGTGGTAAATGTGAACAACTTGACATACAAAGCGAAACTACAAATTGTTTGACCAACGAACCAGAACACAAGTTAAAACAAAACTTTGATTACAAACACATATCTCGGTTCATGAGGTGTCTTCGTGCATTTCGCGTATCCACTGGCGTACCAACTTGAATTTGAGTGTGTGTGTGGGGGGGGGGGGGGGGGGGAAGGGGGGAACAAACCAGGACACAACCACCCCCCCCCCCCCGGGCCGTGTGGCGGTGCCCTTGTTGCCAGTGTTTGCTCTGCCCAGTGCGGCTGTTTCAGGGGGAGCAAAACACATGCCTTGCCTCCCCCCCCTCAGAAAACTGGGGAGAGGGGGGGGGGGGGGGGGCAAGCGCCCCCTAGACCCCCAGTCGGTGCGCCTATGCGTGTAACCTAAGAACATTCTTGAGACGGATGATTACGAATTAAACACTCCGTTATCGAGTCACTCCGCTGTGAGTATTCGACACCGGATACAAATCAGGGGTGGGGGTCAGGAAAGACGTCCGTCGATGCAAATCAACAAACTGATCTTTCACAATCACAAAAACTGAAAAGAGCATAAAAAGGGAGCTCTGCTGAGACCGCCCTGCTACATCGTCGAATGCTGCCAGGCTCGTGCTGTTCTGTTCGAGCCCGGAGCTCGGTCCCGTCGGTGCTGCTCATGCCGCGCGCTTGAAACGTCTTTAGCTGCTGACGTCGGGTGAGCCACCGCTCAGTCTCGCGCATTGGCGCCACCGCTGTAAGTCTCGCGCTTGGCGCCACCGCTCTAAGTCTCGCGCTTCGGCGCTACACGCGCATGCACGATGACGTGAGATACTTAGCGCCCCCTCTCGGCCACTGCTGGAATGTCCCGTAGATGGTCAGGTTCTTCCTACCACGAAGAGATGTTATGAAAAGCACCATCATCCTTTTTGACGTTTTGATGGTCTATGGAGATATCCTAATGATCTGACACGGGAAACATCAAAACCTTTTGACGGATTATCAGCCACCACCAGAAACGTTTTGACGGTCTTTGAACCACCTACAGAAGCGTTTTATGGTCCATAAGTCACCATCTGAAGATGCTTGATGGTCTATCAGACACCGTCAAGTAAGCCTGTCTGACCAGCAAAAAAAGTCTGATGGGCCGTCAAAGAAGCCTGATGAGCGATCAAGAATGCCTGTTGGGCCATTAAGAAATCGTGATGGGCCATCAAAAAGATTTTATGGGTTATCAAGTAGGTTTGAATGACCATCAAAAATTTCTGACTATCGTATGGATCGGGAACCCTCCCTTCTAAGATTGGTTGACTAGCTTTTTCCATATCGCAACATTTTTTTTCTCCACTGATAAACAACATTGTTCGACTCCGTTAGAGCGGGATCAGCACCGTACACCGAGATCTTTAAAATAAATATGCGCCGGAAAAAATCAGCCCCTTTTCCTCATAAATAAGTACCAAACAATGTTTTGAATTTTTAATATAAATTAACACAAGACAACCACGGCCTTGCGGCCGACGGCCGAGCTCTCTAGCCGGTTCGCTCCATCGGACAGTTATCGCTTTCATATTAAAATTGCGCGACTATCACACGACGTGATGTGTTTAGCCAGCGGCGGCCGTGCTGCTTATTCGGCGATTTGACGATGACAATTAATTGACATTGTGCCAACAGTGCGTCATACGGTAATCTGATATTGAAATGACATTGCATTCATTTAGCGTCGATACGTTGTTGATGAATAAATGGTTTTGAGGTCCTGATGGGTTTTCCCGCAAAATGTATCGGGAAACTAAATGGGTGCATACGTCGCGGGACGTCAATTTTTCCGCTAAAATTAGCGGGAAAACGGGATTGGTGCATAGGTCATGTGACATCATTTTTCGCTAAATTGAGCCGAGAACCTGTATCTGTCTGTGTGTCGCGTGACGTAAAGTCACGTGACATTGATTTTCCCACCACGCTTAGCCGGGAAACTTTTCGTTTACGCTCAACCCTTCGTGAAACCGGTAAAAGGGCCCATAACAGTGTCCGCTGTAACGAGATATGATGGCGTGCCGACATCGTTATTGCACAGGGAGAGAAGGGCGGGTTTAATTCGAGCAAGCTACGTTTTCGTTTTCTTTGTTCTTAAAGGGTGTGTTGCCCGCCGCTTTTATATATTTCACGGGGAATTATATTGCACCATGTGAGCTAGATATAGGGCCAAGCATTAGGACGCAACACAACGTTTTCATTTGAAGCTGCCTGAAGTAGTCGCCTTTAACTCTTGTACATCGGCTTCACTAAAGCACGAGAGAGCCTCAGACCTGCGCAAACAGTAATATCAGCATTAAAAAATGCTGCACTAGAAAAGTAGTTTCTTTTTTGGGGGGGGGCAGTGCACAGCTATCTTGCGTCACAGTTGTTCAACGAGAGAAGTCACAATCCATCTGGGCACGCTCCGAGCAGCACCGGCAAGCGCACCGCTCTCACGCGTTTATTACCTGGCACGTTGTTTACCCGCTACATTTCCTGCCGCGGGGAAAAACATGCTGATTCAGGAGCTAACAACACACGGAAGTTAGGTATGGCACCTGCACGCGCATTGACGAGGCCAATATCTTTGCGGGTGTTCCTAGAGGATACAACATAAACCGCCGAAAGTACACGGGCAGACTTTTGAAAACACGAGCGAAGTTGGGCGACTCAAGGCTGGTTCACAGATTTGCGTTTGTCTGGAATCAAATACGTTAGAAAATCCTCGTAACCGCTGACCAGCTGGGTCAATACTAAATACACTAACAATGTGCCGGGTAGATTTTAAACGCTTGCCAATTTTCTATTACTAGACAGAGAGTTGTGGAGTATTTCCGAGACCAAATCCACACACCTTCGAGAGACAGTCGTTTCAACATGTCAGAATTATTTTAGGTCCAGTAATGCGTAAATATTTACATAAAATATCGCACGCTAGAAGCATTCGAAGGCTCCTCCATAGATGGCGTCGGTGTGCTGTGTACAAGAGACCACAGCTGTGGTGCCTGGAACGCGTGCCCAACTGCTAGGTTACCGCCTCCACAAAAGGGTGGGGTCCCTCGAATTCCGCCTCATGACGTCATAAACGTTTTATGCTCTCGCCGACCGCAGTTTTGGTTGTGTCACAGCAGCGCCAGTTTATGTGACAGACGCCTGTTCTGCTGCAGGTCGCTGTCCCTCCTGACAGGCCACTGAAGCTTCGGCAGTCAGGAGTTGGGACGCCGCGATCACAGCGACACTCGCGTTTGCTCGTGCTTTTTGCCGGAACTTCTAGACCAAACCACCAGGATCGCGACATCCGACAGCATGACACTCCGGTTTTTGTGACGTCATTTGTTGCTACTTCGGAACCACTTTGGATGCTCGGACAGAATAGGACGCTTAACACACCGACGCGTTCCAAGCAGCGCACCACGACGCACTGGATCATATTTGAACGAAAATAATTAAATCAGCCATCTGTGCTTTTCCGTGGCATCCATGATCCGGCGGGGCGTGACCAGTGCTCAACATCACCAAGAGATGGTAGCACGCTGAATTACGGCGATATGAATTTGGGAAGCCAGATTTCTATGATGAGTCCTAAACATTGAACAATATAACTCTCTTCGGTGCCTCTAACTCATTTAGAAAGAATTATAGACAACCAGTAGCTCCTCTCTCTTCAGACAGATTAACGTGCTCGATGTTTTTGTTTTAAATTAAATTCATAAAAACCTGTCGCGTATGATCCACCCTACATCAAACGCGCGTCACGTTCGAAGTAGAGTGGATCTTAATTGGATAAGTGTTCATGCCTTGAGAGCTGGCTTAGCATGTACTGATTAATGATAAAAACTGAGCACACAAAAGGCAGAGAGAATAAAAAAAAAACATCCGCTCGCAATTTTTCGTGCGCTTTACTTTTATAACGGAACTTAATTGGGACATTATATAGGTCATCTGGATGCGAATAGAGATAATACTACTCTGTGCTGATGTAGTTATTCGATAGTTTATATATAGTTATTTGTGCACAAACGAAGTGGCTGTGAGTGCTTTCACCTCTCGCCAAGCCGTCCTAACGTTCCTGGTTCTTAAATTACCTCTTGCGTCGCATGGTCGCTCGACCTACCAATTTCTTGACGTAAATAGTACGCTATTCACAGACCATTGATCTCCACTAAGGGGCAGCATTACGCATCGAACAAACAGCAGTGAAAAGGTATGAAGCCACCGGAAGTAAACGGCTTATCGCGGAAGTCAGCACTTGAAAAGCTTTTCAACTCTTCCAAGTGCTGGTTTGAAAGGGGTTCAGGGCGCTGGATTTATTCTTGCCATCTAAAGAAAGCCTTCTTGTTGCTCGGTAACGGCGCCAGCAGACCCGGGAAGTTTCTTAGGAAGCCATTGGTTGTGAATATTGTGAGATTTCAGCTGGTGAAGTGTGCATATGTCCCATGCTCAAATGCCTTATTATCAGGATCTAATTCAAAAAGGGGTTATACAAGCACACTCAGACACAAGAAATCATAAACCAAAACTTTGACTGAATGCACTAGAAGTTTAACAGTGGCCCGAATCCCGCTACAAACATCAAGCTTCCTGTGGCTTCACCTGCGCCAGGCTCGGAGAGAAGAGGAGATTAGTAATTCACACAGTATTTTGCTCAATGCTCCGGATATGCTATGCTTATTGGTTAAAGAGGCTGAGAAAGAGGTTTTTTTTTTTTCGTAGAACCCTTAATTAGGTTTCGCAATTCTGAAGGCTTTCTCAATCAGCGCCTTTTGAGGAGTTTAGACCTACGGAACATAATGTTTGATTATAAGAACTCAGACTCATTACGAAGAAAAAAAAAAGAATTTGCAAGATTTGCATAAAGTCTCCCTATTTTCTTCTGATGTTCCCTGTTTAACTAAGAAAATACCAACATGGGTCCTTACGCTGACCGCATTTTCTCGCGTAATAGACGCACTGTTCATGAACACAACCTGTGGGCCCACTCACACGAAGAGCACGCGAAAATTCAATCATTCGATTGATGGAATGATGCAAGCGAGTTACGGGATAACGTCCTCACGCGAAAATGCTGTCTGAGCAGATGGCATTTTTACGGAGAGCCGTGCTCCTCAACCTGCTCTCTTTTATGCTTAACGCGATGATTAGCGGCCTGCGTCAGCTCTTTAAAAGGAAACGGCAAAGTCTTGTTAATGAGAAGTGCATCTATTACTCTAGTAAAGAAGATATTTCTTATTAGCACAAGTGTTTTGTTTTAAAATGCGATAGCCTTTAAAATACCACGTGTGCCCTCCTCACAGCTTGTATTGGAAACGTGGCTCAAAAACCACGTTACAATATAAAATCTAGGTTCACTACTTCCTGTCTCTGCCTCTGGTTAGGCTTGTAGCTGACCTTCCTCTCCTCTCACTTTCACGAAGGCAATCTCTTCTGCTCATCTACCGGACTTCTCCAGTGTGAGGGATTTTATGGTTTCACAAGACGTATGTAATGCATTTGTTGTACTCAGTCACTTTTTGAGATGAAGAACAAGTAACGCATTTTCGTTACCTTTTCATGAAGCAAGGAGTACCTGGATTTAGTTACTTCCGGAGGGGAACGCGCGCAACACAAGTAGCCATGATGAAAAGGCAGTGCACAAAAAGGCGAGGAGAGGAACAGGAACGGAGCACAGAAGACACACGCAGCTCAAATGTAGTGTTCTAACAAAATTCTAACCATTCTAACAAAACATCCTTCCTTATCTGACTCTAAAAGACGCAGCGGGTTATCATCCAGAAAGTTCATCACAAGTTTAGGACTGTGAACTTGAACACTTCCTGATCCAGAAACAGTGTCTACAGCATCTACGACACAACATGGTCTGTGTTCTTCACTGGCCTTTTAAGCGACGTTTTTGCCAACGCGAGCAGCTCTGGAGGACGTAGACTAGGTTCAACGAAAAGCTCAGGTTTTAGACTTTGAGTGTTTGAAGGTTTGGAGGGATCGTAATATAGTAATATCCCGTAATATCGCAGGGGGTGAATCGCTTGTAAGCTGGAAGCTCCTTTTTCTTTTTGGGAAGGTCTAGCCAAACCCTCAGCCACAAAAACTAAGTTACGTCCATCGTTCTCGTGTTCAAATAATAAAAGATTCTGCGATGTCGTTCGAGATCACTGGCACTGACACCACATGCCGTCCACAGACAGTCCTTGAAGAATTGTGGCTGGCGCCAATACTCAGATTTTAAAATTGCGCAGACCCTTCCAGAATTACGAGAAATTTAAGGATGCCGCACAGGCCTTGTTTGACGCGCCACGAAGCGCCCCAGGCCTCGAACATGCTCAGAGCGGCCAGGTTGACATAAGAACGTCTTGATGAAAACAAGAACAATAGATTCGAGTTGAGAGTTAGCGCTTGTATGTATTCTGCATTCCGTTCCTGTCCCTGTCCTCGTCTATTTGCGGGCTATGTTTTTCTCATGTTCAACCAGCGTCAACTAGCCCAGCTTACCACCTCACTACAAGTTGTCAACCTAATACACAGACCAGCTCGTGCCTGTAACTTGCTCGACGAGAAAACGCTAGATATACCATAAACAGATGTGCACAAGTTATGCCAGTGTAACCATGACCCCCGAATGAACTTGTCGAAACCTAAGGAATGAGTAACACCAACAAATACTGGAAGCGGCTACTGTTTCGTGAAAAAGAAACATTCAGAGTAACGAGAAATTAACACGTAACGTTCAAGCTCACATGAAGCGTTACGTTTGAATAGCATTAACAAGTAATGCATATCGTTACTTAAGTAGGGTGGTGATTTGGGCCATTTGGTAACAGTTAAACATGATGAAAAACAGCCTCAGGTAAACAGGGACAGGGTTATTAAGGGAACTATTACTTGGGATAGAAGAAGAGCCCGATGTAGAAGAAGATGCCAGTCGGTAACGGATAAACATGATGAAAAACAGCCTCAGATAAACAGATTCCTGTTTATCTGAGGCTGTTTTTTTATCATGTATGTCGTTACTTCTTGAGTAACAAAAAAAGGTATTTAGTTGCTTTGTTTCAGTAACGTCTAAAATGTCTGATTTCACGTAACGCACAGTGAACTATTTGCAATGCTTTCCCTCGCTTACCCTCTTGGAATCCCGATTGGGTTCATCGTCCTCCAGCGGTAGGTCTCCCAAATGCAGGCCATGGTGAAAGGCATGTTGTAACGGTCTCCCCAGGCCGGCATTCGTTGCTGTCCGATCACTTTGTCAATCTCTTCCCTGATCTTGTTCTGCAGGCCCGGCTTGTCGGCGCAGATCAGAAGGTGCCAAACGATGCTGCTGCTTACAGGGTTCGTACCAGCACTCAGCAGAGCCAGTACATGACCGGCAGCGTACTTTACTGCGAATAAGAGGCGATTTATTTGTAATGTGGTCATATAAAACGAACATTTGTTGGCCTCAACTTCACTTCGATCTAAGTGGAGAGCTGGTGAAATGACAAAACCGAAAGAACTGAGAGTGTGGAAGCATGTGGCATTTATATCTGAAAAAAAAAAAAACTTAATGGGAAGAAAGTATTGCATTCTTTCCTACAAGGCATTTTCGCTGAACTACTTGTTAATGCCTCCCAAAATGTCTTTCTTTTTTTTTTTTTTTTTACAATATAAGGATAAGCTGAACGTTGGATCACCGCGAAATTGTGTACATTTTTAAATTATTTTGGGGGGTTTATATAACGGCTTATCTTGAAACTTTCACGTTTTAACACAACCCCTAGCGTCACATTTTCACATAGTCCCAGTTTTCTTCGATACGTAATATTTACGCTTTTATCTTAGTGAAGTGAAATTAATTGATTAGCAAAACAGTTAAAGTAGTTCAGTGCATTAATCTCTGCCTGATTTCTTAATTCAATCAATAAAATGTTTCAACTTTAGGGTATGTATTGCGGGCATCATCTTCGGCTCTGTCGAGGTCAACATCCATAATGCAATAACTGTTGAGAGTCGCTTCCCGAGGCGGACATATATTCAAAGCCCGTAACATCGACCTACTTTTTTCACGTATACATTTCCCTCACAATATGGCACACCCAGGGCCATCTAACGTCAAAATTACTCATTCTGTCTGTAAGTCGTTTTTAGTATAAGCGCGATGTTTTCTGTGTTTTATTGTAAGATCGACGCCTCGTACACTGCCTCGTATTTGTATAACAGTATATTTCTACGTAAATAAAAAATATCACTTAACTAAATAACTGCTACTGAGCCACTGCCAAAAATAATACCATTAAAATGTCCCAATTAAAACGTACTGTTCCTGCTGACTTACTCGTCAAGTGCTCTGCGGGAATTTAGTTGCACCGTCGTTTCAGAATTTCCAAAGTAAGCACAACGTCGGCACACTAAACGTCGGATTAATGGTCCGTTCAAATACTTGCGACTGAGTTTTTGTGATCTCTTAAGATGAGAGAACACGCGGGCACGCTGGCGCCATCTGTGAATTGACCTTGGAACTGCATTTCACAACAGCAAAGGTTTTGCAATCTATGCGAAATCGAATGCACGCACTATTTATGAGAAATGGTCGTTCGTACCAATGTCAAACGTTATTCAAGCCAAGGCAATAAGAAATAATACGAGAAAATCAGAAAAGAAAATAATGGAAATGCCAAGTCTTTCACGGCTAAACGATAGGTGACTACAATGTGCTCTCTGGTTGTAAGAATTCGCAAGATGCAGTCAATCTTAAGCAGTCGCAGGTGTGTGTACCAGGCTTAAGTATCACGTCAAACATCTTAATTTCATTTAGGTCTTAACGTAGGGTATTAAGTTAGGATTCACTCGCAGCGATTGTCTCTCCGAGTGCGTAAAAAAGGGGAGAAAATATTTTACCTATAATAATAATAATAATAATCTTTATTTGATGTTTCCACAAGAAGCACTAGGCCAAAATAGCTGATCACAATTCGTCAAAACGAAAAGCAAAAAAAAAAATGCAGACAGCAAAAACAGGTAAATGATTACATGCAAATTAGTGACTCTAGACCTTGTCGAAAAGCATTCACGTCGCTTGAAATGTCTACAGAAGCTTGACCATGTTTGTTGAATTGCAGTTGCCTTTTTAGTAGTGGTGATGTGTCATATTCACCCACAAGGGAAAACAATTCTGACGACGACCAAACCGCAGTAGACCCATGAAAACAAACAGAGCTTAACAAAAGTGGCGAATCAACAGCTCCGTTTACAACGTTATATAAAAACAATGATTCGCGTAAACGTTATCTATCCACTAAATTAGATATCCCTAGTTTCTTTGTTTTTTTTTAGTAATTTTTTATAGTCGTAATAGCACTCGTGCCCAAAATACCTTTCACGTAAGAAACCAATGAAGCGCCTTTGAATGCGTGCAATATAACGTGATGCGTGGGGTTTCATGCAATTTCGAACAGTGGAAGCGAACTGCAGTTTTGTGCGCTCTAGACTGCAAATCAAGTTCACAAGACAAGCAGGGAAAAAAAATCGTTATCTAAAGCGTCTCCCTCAGGAATCTCACCCAGAGATTCCTAAGGGAGACACTGCAAATACTTGAAACATTATTAACCTTTAAGGATTAATATACAATCATGCCAAGATCGCGAAAGGCGGACACGCCAGCAATGATATTGCTAAACATTGTGAAAGTTTACACAAGTCTATCGCACCTCTTTTTCAAAGCCATTGTTTTTGTTTCCAGTTCATTCAGCAAAGGATAATTATTCGAACACCACGTTGCGATTACCAATGCGTCGTGCTAAAGAAGAGCGCAATTCAAGTGGGAATGAACACAGCTAAATAATTTGATACCGCTTCTTTGGATTCTTTTTTTTTAATTAAATGTCGTTTAGAAATGTCAAAAAAAAAGTCAGCAGAAACTGCTTCCCTGGATTTCTCCGGACGATGATGAAAAAGGCTTCTACATGAATCTTGATACACAAACATAATTTGTCAGAAAAAAAAGACAATTTCCAAACTTATGGCAGTTTCCAAACTAATGACACAAGCCATAACTATCGAGCTTAGTCAAGATAACATTGAAATTAACCCTATTGAACGCTTTTGACATGTCAAATTATATTACGTCAACTTGTTCACGCTCACAGATGAACGGAACGGTATAATCTAAGAAAAAGCACTGAGTGGTTTCCACCGACCTGCCTTCAAAAACCCATATTGCTCGGGGTTTATCATTTTGGTTAAAGTACTGACGTTTGTGAAGTATTATTTTAAAAGCCTCAAAAAGTAAACAAACAGGACGATAGTTGTTTAGAATGCTAATATCGCATGATTTATGAATCCGAACAACTTTGGCTTTTACATTATGCGATAGATGTTGCCCCGTGTGTTCTCGTCTGTCCGTCTTTCTATTTAAGTTTGCAGCCTCAATGCCACATCGACGCCGTTTTGCGTTCTTATATACACTCTAAAAAAAGCCCGTACGTATGCTTTCCCGCACAACACTTAGAGAGCCAATCAACGCAACTTACGGAGGCAGATCAGCGAATGATGATGCCGAAACATATATTTAGACCAAAAAACGCAGTCTGAGTTGTGACATTAAGCAATCCAAGAGTGACGTTTTCCATTGCTTAATATCACAACTCAGACTGCGTTCTTTGGTCGAAACATACGTTTCGGCATCCTCATTCGCTGAGCTGCCTCCGTAAGTTGCGCTGATTGGCTCTCCGAGTGTTGTGCGGGAAAGCAGGCGCACGGGCATCTTTTTAGTGTAGTTGCTTTGTTCATTTGTTCATGTGTAATGTGCTTGAAGCTCAAACGTCAGACGCCAATGACTATAAGCACGTTGTGAAGGCCGATTTAAAATGTGTTCATGACAAGACGATGCATATAAAATGTTAGGTTTCTTTTGGAGGGAAGTTTAAAATGACTGAATATACATACAATGTTCAAAACAAATGCATTGGATTACAAGTGGTACCGAGCTAAATGGGCACAGCGTAATGTATTATAGAAATAAGTTGCAGCGAGGATACCTACCACTGATGTGAGAATCCGGGGCCTTGCGGTACTCGCACGTCTCCTTCAAGAACGCATCTGTGAAGTCGAGGCTGGAGTTTTCGTCGAGCAGCTCTTGGTGCTCTCTGACTCTTTCTCTGAAAATTAGAATTGTTCTAGTGCACATATTCCTAGATACAAAATATGCAAAGTTGAAAAAGCCACATTCGAGTGGCTATTTCTAATTAGCAGGGAATTGCGTCTTTTGCTTTACGTTTAGTGCGTATACAAACAATGCGAAATCGGTTGTTGCAGCTCATTTTGTGCAACGAACGAACACCAATGAACGCCCAGGAAAATAATAATTATACACAGTGACTGAAGCAACAATAGAAGGTAAGTATTGGAACCAAAACAACAACGAAAAAGGTTAAAAATATGTTCGATTTCGTGAAAAACATGCAACGTAACTCCATAGTAGGAACTGTGTTCGGACCTATGTTCCTCTTTATAATGTGATTTAAAATCCCAGGAAATAAATGTCGAAGCATTTGCTGCTCATATTTGGATCTGCGTGTGATAATCCTCCTATATTCCTCGTGGCGGTTAAGGTGAAAGGGTAGGGAGTATTCAGTTCCAAAAGTGCTTATTTGCATTGAAAGTCATTTTTTTTTATATTGTTGCATAGTCTATACTTATATCGGGTTCGAAGTTGGTGCGCAATATACCATATTGTGAGTGGTTGCAGTTGCAGACTCGAAGTAATTATTTAACTAAAAATTATCTAAAAACAAATTGCTAAAGGGAGGCGGTAAAATAAAAGGAGGAAGTGGATTGATGTACATACTTGATGAATGCAACAATCCCTTGAAAACCGGACCTCATCGAATGAAGACTTGTGTAGGGCAGGCGGCCCACGAGGGAATACAGCCACAATGGTGCCCACACGATCAGAGAGCAAGAAGATATCGCCCGTCCCACCTGCGCCATCTGTCTGTCGAGAAGCACTCGTCTTGGATCTCCGAACGGGTACGATACGCTCATCAGAATTTTCATGATGCCGTTTGCAATGCTGGTCATCGCCAACTGCTTTATGGGCACAGGTTTATCCCTGTATTGGGAAAGCTTTCCACAGAAGTACTGCAACTCCTCCTGTGAAAAAAGCGAACAGGAAAGGTGTATTATTACGACATATCTTTATCTCCGAAAAAAAAAAAAAACGAGTACGTCATAGTCCCATAACACAACCCCAAAACTGCATGTAAGCAAAAGACGACAAACACACACACAAAAAAAAAAAAAAGAAAGACGTGTCTTCTTTGGCTTCCGGCCAGTTTTGGAGCTGTGCCTTATCCAGCTCGTTTGCGCCCTGATATTCTGCTCACGAAGTTTTACGTAAAGCTGTAGAAATATCCTTCATAGCTCAATCAACAACTGGCCACTTTACATCAAACACAAGGCCTACCTACGTTTTCCTCTGCCCTCACCTTTGTTTTTTATAGCAGCCCATTCTGACTGTAAGCCATGGGAATAAATAAATGAGACGAAATGGATTCGTAGATGCGTACTGTTGTCGCATCGCTAAGACTATAACAATACCAAAAATTAATATACTCCAAAAGCGGAACATTATAGCTATAATTTCTAAGTGATTATACAGTTACAACAGCGCCAGCATAAAAACAATAGAGCAGTTAATTATTCGACAAAATGTCACAAATTTATCGGTAAAATAATATTTATTCCTGGGCAGCCCCACTTACAAAAGGATTTTTTAAGTCTCTAAAGAGTTTTAGCATAATCTATACAAATTTCCCTTACAAAAAGAAATTTCTTACAATTTTTTTCTGTTTCTGCTTTATGCTCTACTTTAAACTTAAAAAAGGGGAACCAGGAGAACAGATTCCACTTTAGCGTGAACCCGCATGCGGGACGCGACAAGAAACCTTCCTAAAACGAAAAGTCCGTTCGTCGTTCCTCTAGTTACCTTGGTCTGCTCTTCCATGACTGCCGGTTTCCAACCGTTGTCTCGCAAGATACCGAGGCACAATCGGCGGTTCGTACGCCACGCTTCTCCGTTGAGCGTTCCGATACCTGCAAAAGTTCTGTTTCAGACGAGGGTCACTTTATGGCCAAAGAATCGAGGGGTGTGGTACGCCCAGATCCTCTCATTACCTCTCCGCAGCCAATCGAGATACGGCATTGGCCGAAAACAGCTCCGAAGAACCGATCACGAAGAAAGAAGCACACTAAAAAAAGGGTCTATACAGTCCTCCCTAAAAGGAGGAACGCTCTTGAAACATATGTTCCTTCAAAAAGGAAGAAACTTTCTTCCCTGAATGCTGGGGAGTAAAGTTCCTCAGTCGGCTGCATCTTATTATGGGGGCCCCGAATCAAGCGAATCAAGATCAATGAGGTTTAACGAGGACGCTACGTTTCTTGTATAGAGCGAGCGGAGCAGCAAACAAAAGCGTAATAGAAGTTTCCGCGAACTGTATTTATTTGCGAATCCAGCGTCTCCCGCAAGCAAAAGAAACTTGCGTTTCGAAAGCAGTCACTAAGTCTTCTTGTCGTCAGCACTGCGATGTCAAACGGAGACAACCGATATTCAGTTACTTCGCACACTTCACATCTTACCTTTGCTATTCCTCGAGCCACAATTTCTTCATCAACCGCAGATCACAAAGGAGTGGAAAGCCATTCGCGAAAAAAGAGCAAATTAAAAGCAGACTACGTGGCTGTAACCATAAATGATCACGAAGCGTGAAAGAAAGTTAAATCGCTCACCACCAAATGGCAGGGTCAAGCAGAGTAATTCCAAGTAGCTAGGCTAGGTGGCGCTAGGTACCGCTTAATTCATGTGCTACAAAAGCGCTCTTTATTTATTTGCTCCACCGTTACGCTTCGGGCACCTTCAGTATACACACACGTAGATACATTACGCATACCACTAGCATCAAATGAATATATACATTAAGCGCACACACATACACGGCACATATAAATAATACAACCGCACGCTAACCACATCACTGCATCTGTGCTCTGCGTTTTCGCCTTTTATGCTGATTGTTTTCAATACACATTTTCTGGATGACCACCTAAGCAATAAAAAATATTCCCAAATCAAGCCACTCCAATTCTGTTCCAGGCCCTGTTTTTGCTTCCCCGCACGGCTCGTCGTAGCCAGTATTCCTATTGTAGTATTTCTTTTTTATATTTGTGCTGGTCGCCTGCAGCTGCAATTGTCGTTTTGAATTAATCTCTGTAGAGGGGGTATTCACTCAGGGGGAAGCGAAAATTCACGGGCAGAGAAATCGCTTTTCGATCAACTTGAATGCAGTCAAAGCTGCGACCTGCGGCCTTGACGCCGTGGTGAGCTCGAAAACGTCTAGTGATCATCCCAGCGCGCCACTTGGAGGGCAGTTTCTCCAGGAGTCGTAGTTTACGAAACAGCAAAATAAAGGATAACTTTTATTTTTGTCGATCTTACCTAGCATCCTCTCTTTATGCTAAGATTCCACACTGTAATTACGCGTACTCTCCGTCATAGTTTCATACTGTTCAGTCTCTTGCCCAGAGCGCAATCGCTCTCAGGGAGGAAACAACAGTACATCGCAGACGACAGTCACACTGGCCCGAACAAGGTTACAACATGACTATCCGCGCGTCGATCGATTGCACCGTAATCCCTCAAGCGGTCTTAAACTCTTTAACGTAAAGCGCAATGTCATCCTCCGACACTCCGCCCCCACCGATCACGGCCCGACCAGCGGCATCAGTGCCCGACAGTTTACGTCATCTCATCTTGTTGTTACACCCCTGATATGCCACCACATGGTCACATCGGCGACAATTCCAGCCTTCTGTTCACAACGCACAACAATGCCATCGCGATGTTGCTGCTATGTTGCTGACACGCAGAAATACAGAACCACGTTGATTGCCGGTTGGAACTCGGCATCGGAAAACAGAACCCAACTCAGCACAGAAGGCACCCAGGCACCCGGCAGCATACCCTGCTTGTCTTGGACGCACTTTCCAGGGTTTCCATACGTCGTTAGTGTCGAAACGTCATTCCGTAATCGGAGGTGGCCATCTTAGCTCAGTGTACATAGCGCTGCTGGCGCTGCTCCGGAACTTCGCTGTTTCTAGCGGCTTTGTTTGCTCGTTCGATAAAATGTGTGGTAAAAACGTTAATGTAACCGAAAGGCTCTGCACGTTTGGACTGAGAGACGGAATTACAGGCGGCCGTCGCTGCCGCTGAAGCTCAATCAACTCGACAACATTTACTAAACAACGCGCGCTACGTGCTCGAAAAACGAACCCGAAAGAAACCTTTCTCCCATCTGCCTGGAGAAGGAGAAAAACGTCTCGTTCATCCCTGCTTCTCGTGTCCGCTTAGGGGCGTGGCAGTAGAAGGGAGGAAGACGCGCTGTTGCTACCTTTTTCCGCCTTTTTTTTTTCCTTAGAGTGTATTAGATCTGCCTTCCTTAAAGAAACACTAGAGTGGAAAACGATTTGTCTTTTCTAAAGGGAGAGGTATATTTAAAACAAAACTACCACAAAATGATTAAATTTTCTCGAGCGATATTTACGCCGTTAGACGCAATCCACGTGCAGAATGGGGAGGTCACAGCTAGCTAGGCCCCATTCCTTGCCTACAAGGTGCGCACATATCTCATTGGCCGGAAAGATGATTGACGCGTGGATTGACGCGTGAAAGGTAGGTGTTAGATTGTGTATCTCTGTGCGTGTAATAGTATTTCATTTGACTTTTTTGTGTTTCTGGAATCTAGATAGGATGGAAGAGTGTTTTCAAAAATATCCCAATAATGGCTTTCCGCTTGGGTTTCAAACGATAACAAACATGGCTGTCGGCGTTTGTGGAGTGCTGAAAGAGCGTAGCTCGTTTCGCTCGTCAATTTTTATGAGTGCGGGTACTTTTGAGTTCACAGTGGTGTTTAGAGGAAGATCTCCAACAACAGACATAGTTTCCAGCAAACAACTGTCGCAAGTACGCGCCTAGGGAAGCGCTCTGCGGATGCTTGATTTCATGGCGGGACTGGCCCAGACCTAGTATCCCACATGCACTTTTTTGTTTGATCTGGCTCGTTTCTTTTTTGTCGCGTGTTCATGCTGAATAAAGATGTTGGTTCTCGTAAAAACGGCCCCGCTGCTCTGTGAATTGTGCAACCGTCGTGATTGCGACCATGATTCTAATACCGAGAAGATACCTACACACGTAAGAATTTGCGAGCCATTTTGGTTGGAGGCAATCGGGCGTTCGGATCGCATCAAGTTAGTTCAGGTATGTTTCCGTCATTTCGCTTCGAAATGCGAGTAGCTGTCACCTTTTGCAGTGCACCTGGTCAGAGAAAGCGAATTGTTTTTTTGGGTCACGTTTAATTGTGATTCATGACGCTCTCTTACCTCGCAGATTCCATCCGAAAAAAATACCAGCATAAAAGCTGAAATGACAACATATTTCTTGTGTTGCTTTTTTTAGTCCTCTCGGTCGCTTTTTACCACACGTCAACAAACACTGACAGAAGCTTCTATCGGAACCTCTCTCGCGCGTGATGAAACGCTAGAACGCCGCTTTCATGGTCGAGTATTTCGAGCGTCGTAAATGTTTTACACACGGGTGGAATAGCAGATGGACGAAAGCGAAAATGCAAGTCGAATGGCACCGTTCTTGTCCGCGTACTTCGGGCATGGCAGATGACGTTAGACGGTGGTGATATAGCAGGCAATGCCTGAAGCTGCCACGCTTCTGGTCGCACAACTACACTATAAAAAAAGCCCGTACGTATGCTTTCCCGCACAACACTCAGAGAGCCAATCACCGCAACTTACGGAGGCAGATCAGCGAATGACGATGCCGAAACATATGTTTAGACCAAAAAACGCAGTCTGAGTTGTGACATTAAGCAATCCAAGCGTGACATTTTGCATTGCTTAATGTCACAACTCAGACTGCGTTTTTTGGTCGAAACATATGTTTCCCCATCGTCATTCGCTGAGTTGCCTCCGTAAGTTGCGTTGATCGGCTCTCCGAGTGTTGTGCGGGAAAGCAGGCGCACGGGCATTTTTTAGAGTGTAGCAGGCGTTGTCAGACGCCATATTAGATGCACCGGATGTCGCGAAAGGGAGACAACAGGCTTGTGAGCGTCTTGGGCCCAGCAGTCAAGCCAATCCAGTACTAGTAGACGGGTCAGTGGGTCTAGAGCAAGGAGGTTATAAGTGCTATAGGAGGGGGCACGTTAGGGGGGGGGCAATATTGGTGAAGTCTAGTCATAAAAATATTAAACAATTGTGTGGCCAACGTGACTGTGGATCTTGCTGGCAACTGGTGCGCGTGACATGTCACGTGCGAGATGGATGGTAGATTGTAGTAGGATTCCTTGCAGGCTTGCGCGCGCTCCGCCTGGTAGGTTTTATCAGATCGAAGGCTAGACGTGAAGCGAGCAAGCAAGCAAACGGTTGAGGCGGATCACGAGCAGACGACACACCGCTGCTGGTACACGGGACGATCAGGGGAATCGCCGCAATCGCAACGGAGGAAACGAAAGCCTGGCGTCGCTGGGACGCTGATTTCCTCCGGCTAGGGGATGGGCGCTTGCAGCGTGGTTGCCTGCCGCAATCGGACTGACTTTTCTTCAGCGGGGGTCACCTTTCACCGGTAAACCCTTGGCGTAGTACACACACATAGGTTTACGATTACAGGAATCGATCAAGAATTATTTCAGACTTCCGACGGTCGCCGAACTGCGGAAGCGATGGGTTTCGGCCGTTGGTCGCGGCGGTGGCTGGACACCATCGAAGTGGAGCGTCATGTGATACGTGCACTTCCAATAGTCAAAAAAGCATATCCCGACCTTGAGTCAAGTTGAGCTTGTTCAATTCGTCACGACAGCAATAAAACGTCCCAGTGGACGACTTGCATAGCGGCCCATAACGAAACGAAAAAGACAAACGTATTGTAGCGTGATGTAACATGAGAGCGATGAGAGCGCAACTATCAAAATTGCAAGCGGACGTCAAAATCATCCGTGCAAAAGTGCCTAGGTATTGGTCAAACCTGTCGGGTCGACATAGTTACGCAATCACGTGTGTATGTAATTTGTTTTTGCTTTGGCTACTGTACTAAGTAGTGGCCAGGAGATAAAATGCCCGCTGATAGGCACGTAGATGCAAGGTACATTACCCAAAGCACGTCAACAGGCAATCATTACTGCGCTGACGTTACACGTTGAATACTATCGTGTTCAGGATAGTAACGGTATGTAGACAACAGACTGCATTTACTTTATAGTTGAGGGTACATAACGGAGCGCAGCAGGTACAGAATCGGTAACTGGGTGCGGGCCACAGTTTCTAGTTCCAGGCGTTCAGTTAGCCACAGTTACAGGCGTTCAGCAGTGGCAGCGGTGGAGTTGACACCCAACACTGAGACCGCACTTTCGTCGTGGCAGGTTGGTGTGCTACTTTTGTAAAACCTCCCTAGATTTTTAGCTTCTGCCACTGCTGAACTGCTTTTGTGTATCTGTGTGTCATGGCGGACGAGGGTCTATGTTTGGCTTGTCACAAATCGCTACCAGAGGACGGCGTTTTCATGATTGTGGGTACAGTTACCACTTCGGAAATTGCGCTATGTGAATGAAATCAACCAAAAAGCAAAAAAACTGGAAGTGTTCAACATGCCGGTTAGCAAAAACAAGGAGCACTCAAAATTCGAAGAAGACAAAAAAAGAACAGGAACCTGATGTCAGGACGCTGCTGGCCGAACTAAACAGAAAACTTCCAGGTCTAGCGGCGATTACAGAAAAAGTGAACGAACTAGTGAGCATAAAAGAAACTGTCACTAAAATTGAAGACTCTGTTCAGCACATGTCCCCACAACATGATGAGGTCCTGAAACATATAAAGGAGCAGAACAAAAACGTAACAGAAATGTAAAAAAAAAAAAAGACGAACACGTAGAGAAAAACCGTGGAGGTGCAGTTCAGCAACTCAGGATGTTTGTAAATAACTTAGAGCAATACAGTCGGCGCCAAAATCTTGAAATACATGGCTTGCCGTTAAAAGAGCGAGAGAATCGTTTTGAAACTGTAAACGAACTGGCGGCAATGCATGAACTGCCGGAAATCGTAAAAGCTGACATCGAGGCACTACATCGTCTGCCAGCTCGTACTAGCAAGATTCCTGTCGTACTGATGCGCTTCACTTATCGAGCACCACAAGAACGGTGGATTAACGAAAACTCAAGCTTGCGAGAGATCAAGTCTAACATACGTTTGTTCGAAAATCTGACGGCGGCAAACAAGAAATTGCTGTGGCTGACGAAACAAAAGGTAGAAGAGCAAGGCTATCTGTTCACCTGGCAATACCATACAAATGTGTTTGTTCGTAGAAAGCCTCGCGATCGAAGTTATCAAGATCGGAGGAGAAGACGACCTGCAGAAGATAAACTAGAATCAAAATAGCTGCGTGTAGCGGACTTCACTTTTTCGTTAAAAATGATTGATAACCAAATAAAATGTTCGTACTACGATTCTGCATCCTTTAGTCAATTCGCCGCGAATATCCCGACCAATAGTCGAGGACTCTCGCTTTTTTCACTTAAATGCTAGAAGCCTAAGCAATAAACAAGATGAGCTAGAGATTTATTTGCACGACTTGCACATACAATTTGATATTCTAGCGTTCACCGAAACATGGATAACCGATAAAGATGACGCGGTTACACTTGGAGGCTACACGACTAAAAGTGTTTATCGTAAAGATAGACGAGGAGGAGGAGTTTCTTTGTACATTCGACACAGTCTTAGTTAGAGTGTTGTGACTGATTTTCCCTTAATCTGTTATGATTATGAGTCTCTTTCTATTAGATGCGGACAGTTGATTATAACCGTGAGTTATCGCCCGCCATCTGGCTGTACGGATAACTTTTTTTTTTATTTCGTTGATAGCCTTTTAGACTATGCCACGTCTTCAGGTCTTCAGTTGACGTTGATTGGGGACTTTAATATCGATATCCTCTCCTCTAGCCCAACGTGTATAATATTTATGGAACTGTTACAATGTTATGTTTTTCCTTAATGTTATTGATAAACCCACTAGAGCTACGTCGGACACGGCTACGCTGACTGACTTGTATATAACAAACTGTGATCCCAGCGAATTTACCGAGGGTCTGTTAACATGGAACATGAGTGATCATCTTCCAATATTTATTTTTTTTAAGGTTTAAGAAAAGCTGTGTGTCTGCTCCTCCTGCAACGTACCGACCTATTACTAAAGAAAACCTCGAAATATTCTACAATGTGGTGTCAAATACTAATTGGAGGTTTGTATGTAATGAGTGTGATACACATGTACCATATGATCTCTTTGTGAATAGGATTATATTATTGTATGACTACGCATTTCCGTTAAGAACACTGAAAAAACATAGAAAGTCAAGAAAGCCACGGGTAACTCTTACACTTTATAGGAGAATAAAGGACCGAGATCGTTTGTACGATAAATTCATAAAGCTCAGAGGCAAAGAAATCCTGATTAGCTACGAGAAACACCGGAACAAACTGAGCTCTGACCGTAAAAAGGCACGACGCGATTATTTTACAAACAAAGTTATGAGCCTTCTAGCGGGTCCCAAGAAAATATGGAGCACTGTGGGACATTTGATCTCCAAAAATAAAAATCCACCTCCAAGTGAACTCGCGATCGACGGCATAGGCTACAGCTCGAGGTAAAGAGCTCTCTGATATATTTAACACTCATTTCTTAACATCAGGTGCACCCTCCTCTCCCCAAACCAGTGAAGGCAATGTCACGTCATACATAAGTCAGAGTATATCTAACTCTATTTTCCTTTCCCCGACTAATCAGGAAGAAATACTCGCACGGATTGCTAGTCTTAAAAATAGCACAGCTGGAGGTGAAGACGGCCTTACCAAAGCCATATCCAGAATTAACACACATGTGTAACGTATCTTTGTCAACAAGTTGATTTCCCAACCGAATGAAAGTAGCGCCAGTCTGTGTTATACTAAGGGTGGTGTATAAAGCGACCTCAACAATTATAGACCAATCTCAGTAAAATATGTATTTTAAAAATTTTGCACCACATAATAAAGAGCCGATTGATTAGCTTCTTTAAAAACCATAAAATAATTACAGAAAAGCAGTTTGGATTTCAGAAGATTAAGTCAACAGAAATGGCACTCGTCAACATTAAAGATAAAATTATCACCAATATTGAAAATAAACAATACACGATCGGAATATTCCTTGAATTTAAAAAAGCTTTTGTCTCCATTAAGCACCAGATACTCTTAAATAAACTCAAATAATACGGAATAAAAGGGAAAGCGCTAGTACTAGTGTCTAGTTACTTGAGCTGTCGGTCACAATTCACCATTTTTAACGGCGTTAAATTAGATCTTAATAAAATAGCATAAGGTGTTCCGCAGGGTTCCATTTTAAGACCATTGTTGTTTCTTGTTTATATTAATGACATAGTTAATATTTCTCAAAACGGATGCGGACGATTCGAACCAGAACAGCGGCTACTTGATATTTTTTATATAGTGAAAATCGACGCACCTTCCATTCGGTCCTAACTCATCGATGCTCCGAGCTCCTATCCATGCGTACCCGCTGTAGCCGGGGTAACGGAAAAACTATTTTTTTTTTTTTTTTTTTTTATTGAGGGGGTTTGTTTTTGAGACGGCCGACTGATCACTTCCGGACGTCAATCCCGCAGAATCCAGTTCTGATTAGTTGGCTAAACCAACTAATCAGAACTGGATTCTGCGGGATTGACGTCCGGTGAGCACAATGAATGGAATTCGGTACTCTGGCAACATTCAGCGACTCTAGACGGGGCAACAGATTTGTGGGCTATGCGCCGAACGGGCCGTGACCTCCACCTAAATAACGTGTAACGGCGTAAATATTCGCATGGAAAAGGTGGAAAAAAAATATTGTTTGTTCCATCTATGCTCTTTAATACCAAATTTTTTTTTTCCGATGTCTTTTTAAGGTGCCAGTGTCCCTGGTATCTTATCCGTGCTCCGTCAGAGTATATGAGACGTTTTAGGCATTTCGGTGCTAAGAAATAAAATAAAAAATAACGTACCGAGTAAGCCGGTGTTTGTGCAGAACACGTTTCTGAGCCGAGAGTGGAATGCGGTGTGGGTGAGCCATTTCTTGACGGAGGCGTAGTCATTCAGAACGACGACGTTCACCATTCCATACTTGAACCTGTGGACGCAATAAATACCATTTTTATAATCTGTCCAGGGTGTTATCAAAGCTAAGGCTGACTCGGAAATCAACAGAAAAAATCGTTCCCTGCACGTAACAATATCGTATCTTTATCGAAGATCTATTTTGGTGGTCGATATTTCTCTCTAGAAAGTCAAGGTGCAGTTCTCTCCTTGTGAAAAAATGAGACCAACACCCTCGACAGGCTAAACGGAAGACTTCGACGCAGTCGACCGAGAAACTAAGGCTTGTGATTTGGCGCCATCTTCTTTTAGGCACAGGAAGCAGACGCCGCACAGTGTCAAAACCACACGACGCCAACTGCCGTTAAACATGTCAGGGGGAGTTGTTTTCATTTTTGTGCGTCAACACGCGACAAGCAGATCGATACACAAAGTTCAAAGCGGATCCGCGGCTCAACACTTGCACCAACAGCACTCGTGAAAATGCGCAAATATCTAAAGCAGCCCGTCGCAACCTGGCTCCGAGCAGCGTAGCCCTTCATGCGTGATGTTTACCCCGCGGTCAAAGTTCCGTTGGGCTGGCTCATAATTCCGCAAATCATACAGTTCCATTAGAGACATCCGTGAGTCACGTTTCAATGACGAAGATACTTTTACCGTGGGGTAGTTCTGTTCAAAAGCGTCACGTGCAGTTGTGGCGTCTGACTTCTAACGCTCAGGGGCCCTGGCACGGAGAGAGTAAAGCGCAGACCGCATGGCGCGTTTTTGCCCGCGATTCAGGCGCGTCGGCGTCAAACTGACGTCATTTCCTGCGCGCGGGCGCGCGTTTTGCGGGAGCGTTGGTTTCTAGCCGACCCAGAACAAGACACGCGCGCCGAGGCGTTGAAGCGGCTCTCGCCCAATGAGGGTCGGTCGAACTATCACGCGATCCTGCATGGTACGCTGTTTCGTATTCAGCACATTTCAAAGGGTTCAAAAGCATTTTTATTTTCCATATAAAAGTTGAAAAGGTCATTATTTTGACACACACACCCGTTTTATTTACTTATTTGTTCATTTAATTCTCATTTTGTAGGATTTGCGTCAACATTTACATCGCGTGTTGAGAATTCTGTTACCTGGCAACGCTGATAACGCGCGGCCGACGGTGCTTGGCTTTGTCTGCATGCGGGTGCCCCCGCGTCAGCTTCCGCGCGAGCGTTCATAGCGCGTCGCGTTTTCGCGTGCAGAAAAACGCGCCATGCGGTCTGCGCTTAACTAAACATCAGTGAGTTATATTTTAACCGGAGGACGCGGGAACCTCCTCCACCTACGAGGGCGACCCGCGTTGCCGAAAGCGCGGAATATGTGACGTCTTTGGTCCTGGGCTTACTTCTGGTCAGAGCAGCGAAAAGCTTTTTTTTTTCAGTCGAGATACAAAATTTAAGTGTCGCTAACCGTTTCAATTATTCATGAAAGTCGTTTTTGTTCAGTTTTTTTTAGATCAGAAAAGAAACAAATACAGTTTATAAAGTGTGGAAACAAGAAAAGAGTCGTCGACAAACCCGCCACCAAGCGGCGGAAAAAACGGCGCATATTAGAAAGGGCTAGTGGGATGAGGCGCCAACCATTGAGGTGTTACAATAAACGCTAGAGGCTCAGCTGGCGCTAGTGTGCTGTTGCATTTTGAAGCAGACAGCATGCAGTCAGAAATTGACTTCCGGTAATGCATTTCTATGGGAAAAAGCGAGTGCATTTTCTCTCTGCGCTCGATTATAAGAGCTAATATCACGAATAATTTGTACGTACTAGGCACATTGAAACATTTCTCAGTCACGCAGATGAAATAATTGGTCAGTTACAGCATTTTTATTTGAAATTCGCGGCAATAAAAACGGTGTTAAAACCGCTTCGTACGTGTATTTATATGCACTGTCGGACACTTAGCGCGAACACGGCGTCGACGCTTTCCAGCATGGGGGATATACGTGCCAAACGAACGAAGGACATGTGGAAAACCAAGAGAGACGGCAAGAACTACGCAGTAACACTGGGTAAGTAACTCCTTGTGCTTGCAGACGACCAAAATAAATTAAAAGTCACGTAATATAGTCAGATTTGCAATAAATAAGTACTGCTTTATTCTTTCTGCTCATGAATATGTGCGAAGATGCTTGTTCTGTGTTCAAATCATCACCCGCACGCTCCAAACCTTTGGAAATAGGGGGAAGCCAGAGGACAGGTGCGCGATACAAACTGCCCAACATAGAAAATAAGAAAACACACCTTTCCTAGTCCACGTCCTTTATTCTTTACGTTTCGAACGTTTTTTTTTTTTTTTTAACCACTCGAAAAGACGCACGACGGGGTCATTTTCATATAGTGAGAGGACAGGCATATGAGCAATATATAAGCACCAACGGAATGCTGGCGAACTTTGAACACACTCTACATTCCTTTCGATCGTTATTTTGCTTAGAATCGTCGCTCGTTTCTATATACCTGCCATGAAACAGAGCCATGAGACAGAGGTTTGGGCCTGAAATATAGCGAAGTTTAGCATCGTTCAGTGGTAAAGGAAAAATGTTGTAACTAAAGCAATTACACTTTCACAATATTAATAAAGGTACATACTACCCGGTACAACCAAAATAACAAAAGTTATTCATGCTATTTTCCGGCGACGAGACAAAATTCACGCGCGTTTTTTCATAGGAATACACAGGAAGACTGGAAAAGTAGACTGCATGCTGTCTGCTTCAATTTGCAACCGAAAGTCCCGTAGACACTAGCGCCAGCTGAGCCTCTAGCGTTTATTGTAATAACTCTATGGCGCCAACGAACGGCAAGCATAGAAAGGTCCCGGATGTGCGCGGCGGCGCTGCGGTCGTATACCGGTTCCAGGATCCGACCGGTTCCGAGCGTTCCGAAGGCTTTCGGCGCTGGCTTGGCTGGCGATTTGGCCATTTGGCGGTATGGCAGCGCGAAGTGGCTCCCGTTCTAAACTGATCTTTACACCGTGTTTGCTGTCGTGTGTGGCCAATGAAGTGTTATGCAGAATTAGTCTTTATTCGCGCAGCAAAACCAATGCGAGCCGCCCTGGCCGCCCGCTTCATACAGCCTATCCAACACGTGCTTTAGTGGCGCCCTCTCGAGCCGTCGACACGGAGTGCGGCAGCCGTGAGCGCTCGATGAGCTCACTACTCCTCCTCTAGTTCACCGCCACTCAAACGAGGACCTACGACGTCATGAAGGAGGTTATTTTTTGCTTGTTTTTGTAATTCTAATTTGCCTATAACTTTTGAAATAAAGCGAAATTTGAGAAAAGAAAAGTTTCTTCAAGTTACTACGTTCAGTGCGCTCAGTTCGTAAAAACACAAGCGGTTCTTCAAAATGATTTTTTTGTCTTACTTCCTCGGTCAAAATGGCGTTACATCATAGAAAATTCTATTTGATGAAAACCGCAAGCAAATTTATTTTAGTTCCCTAAACTTTAAAAAGGAACCTCTTGCTCTGATATTTTGGCGAAAGGAAAACTTTGATACATGAATGTTTAGAAATGCCATTTGTTAGTTCATTCTCTTAAGGGTGCCCTTATGCCAACTTCATACTCAGCTTTATAAACATCGCCAACAATACCTCAAATTTATGTTTGTATTCGATGATTCTGACATAAAATTTTTCTTGGATTTTGTGAACGTTCACAGACGTCTACAAAGCGTAGCAAAGCACCAATGTTTGTAAAAATGCAACCTATGCCAAATAATTCCACCCAATCTGTATCGCTTGTTAAAGAGAACCTTACTTTAGATAACTGAGGCAGTGTTGTTGATTAACTAAAACTTTGACACTACTAGCAACCGGCTGAGAACATTACATGGCGATGTTGCACGCTTTGCGTCTTCAAAGACATAACTATGTTCCTTAATCGTTACGTGGCGTTCCCTGTTTTAAATTCCTGATTTTTTCTCCACCCTCCCGCAAAATAACGTGGTTTAAACGAATCAATCAGTTGTGAACGTGTTGGTTATTGTGCCTATTTACCTTACAATCGGTCCGTAGACATTGGCCAGTTCCGCAAACTTCAGGTGGTGATTTTTTCCCAGAAAAGGGATGTACCCAAGTAGGGGGACTCCCTTCGGACCGGGTGGCAGTTTTGAGTTGTCTTGCGATTGATAGATGTACCAGAAGATGGCCGCAGTGATGGCGAATAGTGGGACGAGAGAGGACCACTCCCATGCAATTCCCGCGGGCGCTAAGGCTTCCTTGAAAATAAATTAAAAACGATTATCTGTATGAACAGCTTCATGAAATATTTTAAAAATGATAATGTAATACATGAAGCAAAAAAAGAACTTGCAAGTATCCATAAAAATAGTTTAATTTGCATGAAAAAATACACGATGATGAAGGCCTGCAGAAAAAGGCTGTACATTGACAGCCTGACAAAGTTTAAAGCCCCCACACCGGCCGCCGATTCACGGCATTGTAAATAACACAAAAAAAAATTATCGCTTGTGCAACACAAAAAAAAGAGAAAAATCTTAAAAGAATTGTCGCCATTTTTTTTTTTTTTTAACGTAGCATGTATGAAAACTTTTTGGCACAGCGAATAAGAGGGTGCGCGCAAAAGTAACCGGAATGAATTTCTGAAGACCGGGCCGTTTGTAGTACCGACTTCCGAAGCTACCAGCGCATAGCAGCACCCTTTCCGAGTGAGTGTGCCGACCACCATTGTCTGTTATAATTTTTTTCCCAAACGCTTCAAAACTGCGCCGGAAACTCTTATAATGCTTTAGAGAGCTTACAAAGGGGTATCAGTGCCCGAGTGGGATGCGCACAGCAGCTCGGAGCACGTGGAGCGAAAGCTGGCGCCGCAGAACCCGGGGATCCTGGTTTCAATTCCCACCCCTGCCCGTTTCGATCTGGATGAGCATCGTACCGGCGTGCGGTCGTGTATCACTACTGCGTGGTGCACGTTAAAGACCCCCAGGCTAGCCCTTGTACTGCACTGGCTAAATTGCTCATCTACAGCGAGTGACTCGTCGCAACTTTGATTTGGCTGACCAACCCCCCCCCCCCCTACACGCAGTATAAATATCCACTCGACCTCAATGATTATTATTAAAGCTTACAAAGAACATGCTAATAAGAAATCGCAAGTCTGTGAGTGGTTTTCGCCCTTTAAGGCCAGTGGTTTATTGATTGACGGCCAACCTCGTTCAAGGCGACCCTCAACCTCCTCAACTGACGAAAACATCGAAAAATTTGGGCATCGTTCACTCCGAGTTTTTTCCTCTTGGTGGAACTGCGACACTTGTGTCACTTGCGAAATTGCGATACTTGCGAAATTCAGTAAGACGAAAATGCATCGATGTGAGGGAAGGGGGGGAATGAGTACAGTTCCATCACAACAATACCCCAGCACGCACTGCCCTGCCAGTGCAACAATTTTTTAGCAAAAATGGCCATGACACCGTTTCTCCATCTCCCGTGTTCTCAGGACCTCGCGCATGTGACTTTTCCCTGTCCGCCCGTATGAAAAGACTTGAAAGGGAATAGCTTTTGCAAATGTGGAAGGTCCTTGAAGTCAGGCATTGCAAAGAAACGAGGAATTATTTTGAAGCGCTTGGGGAAAAAATTAACAACATGCCGCTAGATCCATGGCAAACGACGCCGGTCGGTCAACTGACTCCGGAAGGGTGCCGCTTAGACTGCTAGAGGCTGATGCTGTTACGACGACCTCCTGAAATTCATTCCAGTTACATTTGTGGGTACCCCTTTATACCTTTTTTTTATTGTTGAAACTTTGGTTATATGGCCCAGTATCTAGCTTGGTGCAAATCGTGTTCCTTTTTGTGTTATACATATTTTCAGATATATTTTAGAATGGTGAAATGACCGCAGTGCTGCATGCTCTGATTATTTAATATGTTTGTAATACATACATCACTTTGTTTGTTGGTTAAATGTTTTCTGTTTTCATGCAGGTTTTTTGGTTTGTTTCATAATCAAAGGTGTTAATACGAAGGCTGTAAGGTTGTTTCTGGCTTTAGAAAGTATCATTAATATAATTGTTATAGTTCGATAATCCAGTGCTGGAAAAATGCTCCTTTTCAGATTTCTATTTCCACAATGTTTCAAAAGCGCCTACAACGTTGTTTTAAAAGGTTTAATTATTTTGAAGGAAAATATTTTCAATATAAAATTGTATATCAGGTTTCGAAAGTAAAAGAATGCAAACAATTGCCACCTGAACACTTTGTCTCCATAATAGCCACTTTCTATATATATACAGTATAGTTTTGGTTGTAATGTCCTAATATTTTCAGTTTAATAGACTGTTTTTATGAAGTGTCCCCATGCTTACAAAGTGCCAACCTTTTATTGATAACAGAAAACTAAAGTTTAAAGTACATTGATAGGAGTGTACATGCTTTCCGAATGCCGCACAAAAACAAATCAGCTATAGTTTATATATATATATATTGACAACACCAAAATGTTACGGTGTTGTCGTTGAAGGAGTAGACAGTCTCTGGCGGTGGGCTTTTATTTGGAACTGCCGGGCTCAGCTCGAGCTGTCGCGCGCCCTAGCCATATGTCTGGTGCGCTCTTTTTCTTCATCTATATAACATTATATATATATATATATATATATATATATATATATATATATATATATGAACTAATATGTGCAGATGAATGAACCGTACTTAATCCAATGAATCAAAGAATCAAAGTTTCCAGGAACCCGCCGAAAGCCAAAAATTGGCGGAGTCAGGATTTGAACTCTGGGCCTCCCAATGTCCGGTCAGGTGTCCGGTCGTGTGTACAATGTGCGGTCGGGTGTAAACTATTTTCGATTTGTTTATATATATATATATATATAATTGTATCACAATTCCTTTTTTTACGTAAATTTAATTTAGGTTTTTTTTTTTGTTTTTTTTTTTAAAAAAGCGGAGCGAGTAGGGAGCGACTCGTCGGTCACTCGACCAACACGGGAAAGCATGCCGCCAGCGTTTGTCCGCTGCGATTAAGTGATTCCTTCTCAAGTACTGAATTTAAGGGATAGAAAGAACGAATTCAACACGACTAAGAATTATGTTACCTATAGCCGATTACTGTCAAGGAATGCAGAGATTGTTGTAACTTTTGCTGCTATTACGCGCGTGGAACGAGCCTGGCTCAGCATCGTTTAAGTAACCTTATCCACTGCGTGAATCTGAAACCGCAACTTATCCCGAGCATGCCGTGCGGTGTTACTTTAGCCGATTACTTTCACATCATGTTGCCCTTCAAAGCGCTAAATTAAGAGAGGTGTCTATCCTGCCCATTTAAATACACAGAGCACTTGTATACCAAAAAACGTGCAAATACTCTTTGTATTCATCTAGTGGACACTAAACAGTGGCACTCACTTGCCTAATCCTTGTCAGAATATGGTAGGGCATATTACCGCGCGCGCAGATAGCCAAGTAGGCAGCGCGGCCGTGGCCTAACGGTTATCGCGCCTGCCTCCCACGCGAAATGCCAGGCTTACTGATTACCAGCTGAACGTTAGGAAAAGCGACGAAGAGAGAAAGAAACAGACCAGCAGTCTGTTTCTTTCTCTCTTCGTCGCTTTTCCTAACGTCCAGCTGGTAATCAGTAAGCATGGATAACCAACCGGCTCAGCTACAGGCCATCACTACGAAATGCCAGGGTTCGATTCGTGGGAGCGGCGCGTCTTTTACTTATCCTTGCAATTTAGAGTTCTAGTATATTCGAGAATCCTCTTGCTTGATCGAGGTTCGAATGTTCTCGTCGACGAACCTTCAAGGCCGATTGTTCCAGAAACCAACGTGTGTACATAACGGGCTCCGCATGGCAATCCTCAGTCAGTCTCGCCCCTGCGCTCGATCCTGCGGTTTCGCCGACATCGACGTCCGCGACGCACTGCTGTTTTCTTCTGTTTCCTTTTTGTTTTGGGCACAAGTTCGCCCCATTAAGAGTTTAGTTTCTTCAGTTATTATCGCCTCATCACTTGTCATTCGTGACAATATATACGAATCAAGTTGGTAGGGTAGTTAGAGCAGAAGGTCGCGGAGGTGTTGTGTTAGAGTTGTTTGTGCCTTGTTGTACTGGTGGACATGTATGTGCCTGTAACAGTGTTCGGTATCTTCGTTGGCGTGTGCTGTGTTTGTGCTGTCTGTGTGTTGGTGTATGAGCAGTTATCCCGTTGAAGGTAAAATAAGAAGGTATTTCATTAATCTTTAACGCCATCTAACGATTACTACCACACTTCCTAGGTGGCGCAAGCTGCCGCTTGATTCAATAAGCTAAGTGTTGAGCAGTCCCGTAGCTATTGATTTACAAACTGCTGGCCTGCGGTCCAGGCGTCCCTACTAAAGTCCCGAAATAAGAGCTTCCTACAACTAACGACATTCTTCGAAGCGCCGACTGCGTGACGGTGCAGGTTTTAGGAAGCGAATGGCGGCGCACAGCAGAGGTTTGAACTGAATGCCGCCGTTTTGTTCCAGCGGAATGTGCTCTGTCATTCGTGTATGTTGTCGTAACTTGTAAAAACAGTATCAAGGGACTTTACTCCCTACGTCCGTGCCTCTCAGTTCGAGAACAATCGCAATAATTGCGCCACTCAGCTATCTAAATGCTCGTTTTGTGTGAAAGAGCTGCCAAGTGCAGGCACACACGCGAACGAATGGATAACCACGTCGGTATATAGGTAAGCACAAACAAGAAGAGTAATAAAAAAAAAATAGCGGTAGCGTTGGTACGAGTTGAATGTTTGCCGTGGGTGTCGACGAAGGTGCCCAGCGATTCATCGCCTCATACGACAACCATACGTTTTGTTCAATAAAGTCAGTTTGCCCATTCCTTGCGTAACGATTTCTTTTTTGAGTTTTCTCCGCCGGCGGTAAAAATACAATCAATCTTGTGAGATGCCGTCGGGGGCAATCGCGGAGATTCCGACACACACATTGCCGTTCTACAGGATATAAGTACGGTACCGGTGTCTGGGGACGGATGTCTAGAGTGTCTGATGGCGCTTGGAAGCTGTCGAATAGGCGTATGCGCTCTATTTTTTTACTAGCCTAAAAACCGTGCTCTTCGTTAGGTCTTACTGG